TACATATACTCAAGAATGTGCTCTCACCGATGTCATCTGCTTGCACCATCCTCCTGGCCCCCACGTACAGCTGACATTTTTGTTGTTTGAACTTGTAAGTGTGCTGATCCGCACAGCGGCGGGGGTGCTCGGTACTCACCATTTGCAGTATACATAGCCATAGCAGGCATTGGTCAATGCAAGGGCAGGGCGGGGCGGGGTGGGGAGACAGGTTAGGAGGGGGAGACGGAGGGGGAGACGGGAGTATGCCGGGCAAGAGAGGCTATACCAGCTCATCCCAGCAACCCGCCTGTACCTAAGTCGGTTGAGGCGTGAGAGGGATCTGTTGATTTGCAGCCAAGTGTGTTCAGTCGGGCTGGCAGGTCATTTTGTGATGTCCATTTGTGCTAAAATGTTACCCGCTCGCTTGAATTGCACGCTCGCTTAACATTTGGGCTGTACACCACTCTAATCTTAGCTTATGATCGCACACCCTTGCTAGTCTTACGCCCAGGCCACAAAGGTTTACGCCCTCGCAAGCAGCCACATTGTGAGCAAGGTGGGTAAACACCTTGAGGAGCAGACACACTGCACCTCGAGATAGTCACCCAACCCAACACAGATGGGGCTGGACGGGTCACTCGGGTAGCCATCAGAACATCTCGTACACTGCACCATTTTGTTACGCAGCTGTCACATCCAAATCGGCGCCGTGTATTCCTCCCGACAGTACTCAATTTGTCACCATCGGAACGGCCGCCGCAGCACCGCATAGCCCAGCGCGCCTGCCATAACCTTTCTCAGACACAGCACGCACTTGTTGAAGTGCTGATATTGTCAACACAACGCTAGCGATACCGGGAAAGGCTTGAACGAGCGATGCATGAAGTGCGGGGGAAGAAAGACGCAATAGACGCCGGATGTGAGTGCACCGCTGCGAAGAAATCCTTCCCGATTAGGAATGCGCGCGTGCGTCTTCCTTCGTTTCCACCACCACCTCCTGCGGCCGCGGCATCCCTCTCTTGGTGTGCCGCCTCTTGTTCGCTCTGAAACGGCATATTTCATCTGTCTAATGTATAGTAGAACATTTCTTGATCTGCGTGAACGCCCATCGCCGTCAGTTCAAGATGCACAATCGGCCAGGACGCGGCCCCGCATACAGCTGCCCACCCTTGAACAGCTCGTGCGGCTCCTCCGGTCCCTCCGCCCTTGCCTCTGCTTCGTCCGACACCACTTTCGACGACTTCGGCCCATCTCGCACGTGTCGAGGTGGGTAGATTGCTGGGTCGACCTTGCTGCTGCCCCGCCGCCTCCCGGTGTCGTTGCGGCTCGGATGCGGCCTCAGGCCTCCGTTCAGGTGAGTGGGCGCTGCAAGCAGAGGATTCTGCTTAGCGGCATCGTACTCGGCCTGCGATATAGGCTCAAACGTAAGGTCCCCGCTCCGCAGCGCCTGGACGAGTATTGAGATCCGGTCCAGCCCGGTCACCGTCTTGCTCAAGTCACCGAAAGCGATCCCCTTCGGCCACCCGACAAGTTTGAGGTGATGGCGAAGGTAGATGTTGTGGTAGAGGCCGCTCACGGTCCAATGCATCGACACCTTGGGGTCCACGTCGCCGACGCGCGTCACTGGTGAGTATGTGAGCATGCGCCACCTGCGCCTCCGGAGCCGACGACTTGCTCACCTAGTATGTCCTTCAGCCCTTTCCGTACCTCACCCCGCATCTGCATCTCCTTCCGTGCGTACTGGCCGCGGGCGGTGTCTCCAAGCGCGTGGAAACCAGACTTTGCACGGCGCCGGCGAGTCATGCTGCCTTCGAGTCACTTCGGTGAGCACAGCGCGACTCCATGGACGGTGGCCAGAACTGACAAGAACAGTTTGCTTACGGTAGAAGGATGTAACTGGAGGGCAGCCGCAGGCAAACGACACAGCCAAAAGTAGGATGCCTTACGGCTGCTAGTGGGCGCATGTGAGTGGAGTCTAAATCATCAGACAGTGAGGTCCACTTACCTATCCAAGGACAGGGTATACAGGCAGGGACAGAATGCGCACACGAGTAGGGGCGAAATGTGGACAGAGGCTGCAAGTGGGAAGGGGGTAAAGAACGAACGGAGAGCACGAGCAGAGGGTGGTGAGTGCGTCCCCAGAATTGCGAAGGCACTTCGGTCGGTCCTTCATACAACATATGGCACATCACAGGACACGCCTGTGGCTCCAGACATACGGATCCATCACAGATAGGCAGGGTTGCTGCAAACGAGAGTGAGCGTCCCGTTTGGTGTGTCAAACTCGGGAGACGTGCTAAGCGGCGGATATCCTTTACCAGAAGAATCTCTTTGCCCCCGCGCTTTGGCGATCTTCGCGTCAGCATCGCTACGTCCCACGTTAGTCCATTGGCGCTACACCACAGACCTCACCTGCAGTACCCCCTCATGATGTGATTGCGCCCTGTTTGGCCCACAAGAAGAGCGTCTCCTGCGAGCCCGCGCTATCATACAAGGTGTGTGGCTTATGGTCGCTCTCGTTCAACGTCTAGACTTGCTGCGGCAACTCGTAGTCGACTGGCTCCATCTTGGCCGTCCGCCCAAGCTGCGTCACTTCAGGATAAATGCCATAGCTTCCCGTCAGCCGCCAGCAGGCATGGAGGTTGTCCGGAAGGTGATTCCCGATACATCCAATGTGCCGCTCACAGCGGTGGCACAGACACTCGGGTTCTAGTAAGTTTATGTTCATCGGACTGTCGCTTGTGTCTGATGACTAACTCTCGTGTATCTACACGACGAGCGCAGCTGATTACAATGTCAAAATGTAGTGACCTGGTAGCCAGCATCGCTATTGGCAGAGTATCAAGAATTATTTTACGACCGTTCGGTTCCAGGGCTCGTGCTGGTACCTAGAATGGCGGCCTCCGGTTTTTTGCATAACCGCATCCACCTGAGCAGTGCCATATAGGCGAGTCCGGCCGTGAGCACCGAGGCGACGGTTTTCGGTGCACGGAGCTGTGCGGTAGACAATATTATGCGAGTGTTTCCTCGTCTCATAGAAAGCCTACGCTCACCATTGACTGTACCGTTAGATCATAACAGATATAACTTCGAGGACACCGGAATTCAAATACGGTACTGTTTCCTGACACCGACGGGCGATGTTCAGTAAATCCTGATGGCAGGTTCGCGTCCATCCCCACGCGCCCAAGCCCGCCGACTCTCCGAAGACATCGCTAGCCATAGCCTTCGCCGGGACGTCGGGCCTCCTCTCCATCAGCCTGCCTCGCATCTCATTGCACGCGCCCCTGGATACAGTTCCGGCGCCGTTCAACGGCCGAAGCGCTTAGCGACCACGCATCTGGTGTGAGCTCTGAGACAGAATGAGTGTACGTGGTGTCCCTCGGAAGACGATCACTAGGCGAGCGATCCTGACGTCCGACGTCGCGTCGTCTCCCCCACGAGCTGTATTCTAAGAGCTCTGTGGTGATGCAATTCACTTGAGCTATGTGAGTGTTCTAGAAGAGCCTCCGCCCGCGGCTCGAGCCCACCCTCCCGCCGCCCGACACGCGCGCAGCATCTCGCATCTCGCTGGGTGGTCGTGTGTAATGGTGGGACGCCAAGCAGACGGTACGAACTCGCATCACCAGGTGTGAGTCCACTTGATAAATTCGGGCTCGTGTAAATAGAAATAGGCTCGTGTAGATAGAAATATGGGTCGCGGCGCAGACACGTATTCCGTAAGTTGTTCTTGCCTCAGCTGTATCTGACAATGGGGTATGTACAGAAGGCGACAAATCATGATTTGGTCGGGGCCATCAGAGTGGACGATATAACCAGCTAGGCGCGGCCATGACTCCCGCCGTCATACTCCCGCACCATACTGATAAGTCGGCTGTAGCGGCTGTGGTTATCATCCTCTCGATGAGCAAGACCCCAGCTTCCCGGCGCGTAGCAGACGCGGAAGTGTCTGCACACGGGCGCGCAAGTGCGACTTGATTGGTTTCGAGACTGCGGGCTGTCCTATTCGGTCGACACCGCATAGCGGATCCGACGCGGAGGCAAGGAAGAACGCGCCTATGAAGGCCGTGCACCAGGCACTGCGGATGCTGCCATGCAGCATCGCGGTCGCGCGAGGGTGCGCAGGTTGCACGGCTTCGCATCCCACCCTAACAGCGCGTCGCCTATCGTGCCGAGGGCAAGACGCGGCCGTGGGTGCCTTCCGACGTCTCGAGAAAAGCGTCCGAGCGCGTTTGCGTGCGTCCTATGGCAGGTTACACCGTTAGAGCGGTCTGCGGAACAGGCACGGCACGGTGCAGTGTACATACTATGATATGATCCATTCTTCCATCTGTCCCGCCCCATTGTATAGCTTGTGCCCGCGGTTGTAAAGCCAAAATGCGATATATTGAAGCATTCCTCGCACCGCAGGGCCGTCCAAGTCGAGGCGGGTCGAACATGACGGCGGCGCCATCCATCACTGAGGGCGAGATCGCCCAAGCACCCTCCCGCGACGGCGCCGTTCCAGAGTCCACGCGCCCGTAGTGCGCACAGGGGACGGTACACGCTCGTTACGAGGCGGCACACGGGTTTCCACGACGAGTGCCGCCGTGTACGCGGTTCGCGAATCTGGGCAAATGTGAGCCCTTGGCACAAGCGAAACAGCGAAATCCCTGCGCGCACTGTTCTGTACATCTCTCGCGCCGCGCGTAGCGTTCCTATACGCGCTTGTGTTGTGTTCGATGCATCGAAAGCGTCGCCGACATGCGCCGCTTACTGCCGTCGTGTCCGGTGCTTGCTGGCTCCGCGCCAGAAATACGGTCATGCCGCGAGATGACCAAAATCAAAGTGTCCGGGCGCGCCCAGAAACGACGCAGGCTGGTACCGAGGGTGCCATGGGTCGTGTGTGCCAAATCTTGGAGCGCTAAGGGACGGGAGCGTGGCGGGACGCAAGATTTTCTGTCGTTTTCCTGTTCTTGCACATGAAATCGGTCGAAATCAGTGAAAACAAACCTCCTCGGATCGCGACGAAACGCGCGGGGGACATGCACCCTGGTTCATGGGAACGTATCGTCCTGGTTTGAAAGTCCCAGAGTGTGTCGTCGAAGCGCGAGATCGTCCACAAGGATGTCGGCCTGGGCACGGGCACCGTGCAGCACCCGCGTGGTTGACGTCTTTGTACAGCGTCAGCGTCGTCCCCAAGGGCTGAGAGTGCCCACGCGAGATGAAGGGCGTATTCTGAGACAGAGGCGAGCGCCGTAGCGGACATTGTCCGCATTTCTGTGCTCATGTCATCTGAGTATGGCGCAGTCAGCGGCGTGAACGCGCACACGAGCTGGATACGCACCGGACGCAAGCGCTGAGCGCGCCGCCACAAACTGCTACGAGCGTGGAGGGCTCGGGGTGCGTCTAACGGCGCATCTGGGATGTTTTTGCGAACATCTCGCCGCGAGATAGCTGGAATTGGGCGTATTTGGACGCACCCGAGCGAGAACGGCGACTGACATTCTGCCGCTGCCGTAGTGTCAGGAGTAAGCAGCGTGCGGTGCCAATCGAGCAGTGCGCCATGCACCCCGGAGAACGTGAACGATGTGCCGTGGCGTGCGGGGCATTTGGACGGTTTGCACCGAAGCAGCTTCTCGAGCCACTTGAAGCGACCCAGTCTCAACACGGGCTGCCGCACTACAGAGTGCAGCGCATGGCATGTATAAGATGGAGACGCACCCTTGGTTCTTCGCGGGGGCGGCTCGATCGTAGGCACAGGTGCGTCTCGGAATTTGGTGTACCAGGGGCGCTGGTAATCTACATGCATGAATGAAAGAGTCAAAACTCGGATACACGGCGCAGTAGCTATGAGCGACGTTGAATGGAGTGCAAATAGGGCGCGACAAACGTCGCAAACGCCGTGCAGGTGTAGTAGTGTTTCCGCGCTTGGTGAACGTGCTTCATGGCGCTTTGGGGCGGACGAGTTAATCGGTCGCGCCCGCGGCTTCGCCGAGCATGCCAGCCCTTGCGCCGCGACCTGCGCGGGGCTCCCACTGTGTCAAACGCGTTCACCGTGAGCTAGGGGCGTAGGAGAGCGAGACAACACGGGCACTCACCTCAGACGCATCCGAGGATGCCACGCACGGGGTGAGAATCGCGTCAGAGACGCGGTCGCGGCCCGAGCAATGTCCTGTGCGCGCACGAATGTCGGTGCTTCGCGTTCGTCGTACACGGCTCTCTCGACGCTGCCTCGTGCGCACATTGCCGTCGGCGCGGACCCGGCGCACGAGTCGTGTCCGCCGCAACACTCAGCACGTCCTCGACTACGATATGGAAGGTGCGTGAATTCTGCCGTCGTCGTACGTTAGCTACATAGCGCGGTACAGGTGCGTCCTGTCGTATGGCGGAAACGCTGTATCGGACTCGCCGCTCGTCGCGCAAGCTTTCCTGCAGCGTACGAGGCTGGGATGTGCGTAGAACCCGGCCCCGAGTGCAGCTCGTGTGACACTAGTGTGTACGAGCCGGAACCCACAGGCACACGCAAACTGTCAACGCGACGTTGCATAGGCGACCTGCGCGGGTTTCCGACATCATCAGCCGCTCTGGCAGTTGTTTCGAGGAGGCGGTGATGTACTCACCACGGCCAGGGGCGAGCTCGGAGTATCCCAGCACGTCGCAACCCGTCCCACCAGGCGAATCCGCCCGCGCTCGATTCGGACATGACGGCGTATCGTCTAGGTCGGTTGGTGCTTCACCCGAAACGTCCGGCGCGCCGCCAAGCGCAAATAGACCTGCCTCCAGAGTCCAGATAGGAAGCCCGGTGCGTCGAGGCACGGGCGCCGATGGACACTTGTGCAACGTCTTCTGAGACACGCGCGCCGCCCGCAAACGTCCGCCGCTGGTGCCATTGCCGGGCGGGGGGGCACGCCCCGACGACGTTGTGGTCCACCGATCATGAAGCGCCGTCCGATCAGCACGCAGGTCGTATCCACCGCCGCCTCTCTCCTGCGGCAATGGCGGCCTCGGACTGTCAGCCAATCGCGCGGAGGTGGGGTGGCCTGAACGACGCAGGGGGCAGACGAGCCGGCACAGTGTTGCCTTGACTGGCGGACGCGCTAGAGGCCGTCCCATCCCACATGTCCCGTCGTACGAGTGCCCGGGGCCGCCTGCTGCTGCGAGGTCCGGTCGAAGGTGCAGGGCGGGATGGACACAGAGTCGGCCGGGGGAGCTGTCCGGTAGCTGCACAGGCAGAGCGTTTGATGACGACGGTGCTGTCGCGTACGAACTACGATCGCCGTCCAGGAAACGGGCCCTCGTATCGCAAACAGGTTCTCGAGATCCTCTCGTCGCTGCCGTCGTGCGATGGCAAATCACCGCCGCATCGTCCAAAAATTGAACCAGCCGGCCGCACATCGAAAACCCGCCTCCTCCGCGGATCGAAGGCCCGCCGCGCTCGCCTCCTCGAAGTGGGGCCAAGCGGCCGTGGATACAGATGCAGACGACGTCGGCTCGCCCGCGCGCGGCGGACCTGGACCCACAGCACGGGCGTGATACGCGCGCCCCTCCTGCCGCCAACACGGTACGCGGCGCACACGCACCGTCTCCGTCTGCGCGCATCCTCGTGCGCGTTTCAGGTGGGGCGTGCTCCGTGTGCGTTATTGGCCCTGTACGCCTGCGTCCGTTTCCGCGCGACGAGATGGCGAGATGCGCGCGTCGGCGTGGAGACGTCGTGCGCGGTGGCGGGCGTGGGTAGACGGCCTGGGATGCGTGCTGTGCGTCGAGGCGGCCGCAGAACGGCGCTGTGCGGAGCCAATCGCGGCCGATGTTCTGCGCTCGGGGGTGCACATGCGTAAGTTGTCACTCGAGACCGCCCCGAGCGGCGCCCGTCCGAGATGGATACAGCGGGGTCCATCGCGGAGCTGCCTGGCCCGTGCGTGAGTCTCGCGTATGCAGATGCAGACAGTCGATAAAAGGTGGGACGTACGGCCGGCCGATACCTCATCCCCCCACCTCCTCCCCCCACCTCCACCACCACCTCCTCTCTTTGCCTCCCTGGCCGCCCGTCAACGTCGATTCCGTGCCCCGGTAGCTCTGGTATTGCTCTGCACAGACGCTCGTCTGACCGCAGCGAGGAGGCCCGGGCAACCTTTGCTAATTTGGTGAGTGGCCGGGGTGCTGTCCAGATGACACAGTGCTGATGGTTGCGTGGTGGCGCTATCGTCGCAGCGCGGTCGTGTCTGTGTATGCTGTGGTGCAGATCGGGCAGGTAAGCGGACCGGCGGGGATCATGGTACAGACGACATGCTCACCTCCCGCGGCAGGACCCACGACGTGATGGTGGACGCGCGATCCCGGCAGTAGAGATGGGCGGGATTCGTCGTCTAGATTTGTGTCGATGTCAGCGCGAGGCCGGGGCTCCGGCGACAGTACTGTAACATACATGTACACTTGAGCTACTCTGCAGCAGAACAATCGAGACGTAAGGATTCGGTCAGTGGAAACGAATGTAGGCCAAAGAGCGAGGCAAATCCAAGGCTCCAGTCGGGGGGCACTATGCTAAGCACGTCAAACTACTGTCAGATAGCGCTGCGACGCGTGTTCCGTGTACTGCCCGCCGCGGCAAATGCGATTTGTGCATACGTATCTAGCATGGCTATGGGCAGGGACAGGGACGGCGAGTCCAGCTGTGCCCACTAGCACTGTTAGTAGGCTGTGTGCAATAGAACGGCGTGAGAGATCTATGTGTGCAGGGTGTGAAGGTGAAGACTTGCCTGCAGTATGCATCGAGCGGACGGCACGAGGGAGAAGGGAGCAGCGGACGGACGGACTAGCAGCGCGCGGAGAGGGCGGACGGGTCCTCGAAAGGGCGGACGGAGGCACAGACGAGCGGCGCTGGGATGCGGTCGAGAGAGCGAGCTCTGCGCCAAAAGGTAGATCGAGCGCGGTCAAGCACGGTTAGAACGGTGGCGAGGAGGGGCGAGATCGGGCGAGAACGTGACTTTGAGCGTTGGAACGACGCGAGCTGCCCGCCAAAAACACGGTTGGAAGGGTGTGAGCGCTTGAGCGCCAGTGCGGTGGCGTCGAGGGCGTTTTGGAGGCGGTCGGAGAGAGTGGGTGAGTGGGTGGGAGAGCGCACAGAGCGCTGCTCGAGGGCGGTCTGCGCGGCGACAGACGATGACGGCATCGCACCTGGATATCCGGATGCGCCGGACCGGAGTCGATGAGCGCGCGAGTGAGGATCGTGGTGATGGGCGCTTACGAAGACGTGGTTCTCTCCACAAGTCTGCGAGGCTCTCCGCCTCTCTCTTCTCCCCGTCAGCGTGTACATATATCCCCTCGTCCCGCTCCGAGCCTTCTCTCTTCCCCGCCTCTTTCTCCCTGCGAAGATCCTGCCTCACGACCTCGCACGCGACCCAGGCTGCGCCTCGCGGTCTGTTTCTCCGGTCCGACCACCTATCGCCCACTTGCCGCAGATGCTCCTCGAGCTTGTCTCCCGCCGACCGCCACCACACCCCACCCTCGGGCGCCCGCAAGATGTACATCCACGTCCCCCTCCTGCTCCTCCTGCTCGCCACTGCCACACCCAGCGACGCTGCGTTGTTCTCGCGCGACTCCGAGTCCTGACTCTCCCGCGCAGCGCGACACGTTCGCCGTCACGTAATCAACCGGCGCACTGGCCTCCTCGACGTCCGTCGCCTCGCGTACACAGGCATCTGCCTTCCGCAGCAGTAAGCGTAGTACACTCAATATATCTCGTTCCAGTCGTCGGATATGTACTGCGTGAACAACGGGAACACAGGGCTCGGGATTGCAAATAATGGCACTAATGGCAACAGTGGGTCCAGTGCTCCGAGTTCGAGCGATACGGGTATCTCACCGAGTGCTTCTTCCGCCGCCGCCTCGCATGTTGTGTCGTCTTCACCAACTCCGACGACCTCTCCGACAAACGCTGCAACCACCACAACGAAAGCAGCCGCAACACAATCGACAAGTCCTGCCACTGCCTCACCGACCGCAACCGGGAGCTCCTCGGGCAGCTCCTCATCGCCGTGGAAAGTTGCGCAGAGCTACGTGCGTTGTGCCTTCACCTCCGATTACGCCACAATTTGACACATTTATCTCTTGTAGGAAGGTGACACTTTCTTCGACGGGTGGGACTTCCAGAACTCTCCAGACACAACGACGCACGGTGTCGCGCAATATGTGGATAAAGACACGGCCGTAAGTTTACTATATCGCCGGATATCTTGTGCTGCAGGATATCGCGCTGACTCAGATATCTAGAACTCCTCTAATCTCACCGAGATCAACGCCGCGGGGAATGCTATCATGCGAGCGGAGACGACCGGGACTGTGGCGACCTACCGCAAGAGCATACGCATAACCTCGCAGTACAGCTACACCGGCGGCCTAGTTGTGCTAGATGCTGTACATATGCCGACGGGTTGCGGGACATGGCCAGCTTTTTGGAGCAACGGTACGTGCTATCGCGAACGTTATAATGTGCCGCGACTGACTTTATTGCAATAGGTCCAGGTTGGCCTGCGGGCGGCGAGATCGACATGGTAGAGGGTGTCAATGACTACACCAACAACCAGGTGACGCTCCACACGGCGCCCGGTTGCAGCATGCCCTCCTCGGACCCTACCACGCTGGGCATTTCCGGCTCTCTGATTGGCGGGACGGATTGTGCCGCTGCGGACACCGCGAACGCAGGGTGCGGCGTGCGCGCAAGCGAAACGAACTCGTACGGTGCTCCGTTTAACGCTATGGGCGGCGGTGTCTATGCCAGTAAGTTCTGATCCTATATCGGATGGCACGATGCTGATCGCGGGATTCTGCAATTTGTAGCGCTATGGGACGACGACGGGATTAAGACCTGGTTCTTCCCGCGCAGCTCGATACCCTCAGACCTATCGAGCAGTGCGCCACAGCCAACGACATGGGGCACGCCCATGGCCGCATTCGCAGCCTCGTCATGCGACCCGTTCAAGTACTTCTATCAGCACACAGCTATCTTTGACACCACCTTCTGGTATGTACCCCGTGAGCATAAGATCCGTGTTTCAGACGCTCACGTTTATTCCAGCGGTGATTGGGGAGGAGGCGTGTGGGACGCATCAGGCGTGCCCGGGCAGGATCAGAGCTGTGCCGCGCGCACCGGTGTCGCGTCATGCTCGGACTTCGTGCTTAATAACGGCGCCTCGTTCACTGAAGCCTGTGAGTACCAACGTGTCATTCACGTCGTCGCGCGCAGTGTCTCATGACATCTTTTCTGCAGACTGGGAGGTCAAGAGCGTCAAAATCTACCAGAAGAGCTCATAACGCGCTTCGCGTTGCAGTTCCGCCCGCTTCCGCTGCTATGTGGACCCACCACTGGCCTCCGTTCTTGGATACACAACGCCCCAGCTCGCCTCCCCTGTCCTTCCTTTGTCGGTGATCGAGCGCACGTCGCTGTCAGATCGCCGATCGTCGATCGGCCGCAGCGGACGACAGGGGCGGCGGAGCGGGCGCGCACAAACAGTGCGCTGACCGCGCACACAATGTACAACAACAAGAACGATTGGACGGAATTCTATAGAAGACGCCAGACCGGATCCGCGTCAGCCGTCGACGCCGCTCACGACCCCCACGACTCATTATATCCCAT